CCTGCAAAGTCCAGCATGAACCGGATGTGGCCACCACAACCCTCATTAGTGTTTACAGCTTAAGTGAGGACCAGGGTGGTGAGCACACTGCCAAAGCAGAAGAGATGGATTTTGGATAGCATTGGGTTAGCAAAAGCCTAAGAACTTTCACTTGACAGTCCAGAAAGAAGTCTCATGCAACAAATAATCCTTGAGCATCCATTCCATGTTTTCAGGTGGAGTAATGGCCATTGCTTTCTTCTTGAAGGCCTTGTGAACAGCAGAATCAGTTGTGTGGTTTGGGTTCTTATTCAGCTGCTAAATTGGTTGACTCAGTCATGATGAGTTAAAAGTATATTAGATAATAAATCTCAAGTGTGCAGGATAAATATTGGTTCTAGACAGAGAAGAACCATGCAGGACAAAGGCAAAGGCCAAGGAGATGCTTAAGGGGAGCAAAAGGAAGTGGTGCTGCAGAAAAATGGGCAGAGAATCTCTGTGGGAGTTGCAAGGGTTTTAGCAGTGTAGAAAATTGGAGTACCTGACTATAGGGCCCTGTAGGGTATTTTTAAAATCATCATTTGTAGAATCATTACAGATCATAAATCACAGAGTAACAGAGTTCGGAAGAGACCTCTGGAGATCTCTGGTTCAGCTCCCACTCAAAGCAGGCCCAAACTGGAGCAGCTGCTCAAGGCCTTGTCTAGTTCAGTTCTGAAAATCTACAAGATATTCAACAAATTTTCAGGGTCTCTGTTCCAGCGTTTAGCTATCCTGTGAAAAATCTTTTCTGAATATCTAACTGAAATTTCTTGTGTTGTATCATTCGTTCTCATCCTATCTCTGTACACTTGCAAGAACAATCTAGCTCTGCCTTTCATATATCCCACCAAAAGGTAGCTGATTGCCACAGTAAGATTCCACCCGAGCCTTCTCTCTTCTTGCCATAGAACAAACCCAGCTGTCTCAGCATCATGTCTTGTGCTCCAGGCTCCACCTCTCCTGGATTTGTTCCAATATACCAAAGTCTACCATGCTCTGGGGAGTCCCAAACTAGACGCAGTACTGCAGACAGGTTTTCACAAGTGCTGAAGAGAGGGGAAGAATCACCTTCCTTGACCTGCTACCTATGCTCTTTTTAAGATGGCCCAGAATATGCTTTCTTTGCTGACTCCTGTTTACTTTTTCACAGGAACTCTAGGTCTCTTTCTGCAAAGCTGCTTTCCAGCCAATTAGCCCCAAGATTTTTCTGTTCCATGAGGTTATCCCACATCAGGATCAGCACTTTGCTCTAAACTTCATTGAACCTAGTGGTATTTCTTCTGATACATTTCTTGGCCTGTAAAAGTCAGTCACAATAGCAGCCTTGCCCTCTAGTATATCGACGGCTCCTTCCAGTCGTCCACAGCCTAGCTGATAGTGAACACCGTCCCATCATCCAGGTTGTTAACAAAGATAGTATTGATCCCCGAAGGACTCCACTAATAACCATCCACCAGTTAGACTTTGTGTTGTTGATCATCACCTCTTGAACTTGGAGGTCCAGCACTTTATAGTTCACCTCTCCATTCCATAGCTCACCAGTATTTTGTGTGCACCCTAGCTCTGGGGTAGCAATCATTACCTCCCCCCCAAAACATTGTTCTTCAGGGCCACAGTGAGAACACCAAATGAGGCATTATGTGATGAAAGGAGACGACTTCCAGATGGTCCTTCTTTGCACATCAGCACGGCTGGCTCCCACGGGTCCCAGCAATCCTGAGCACCATCAGTTTTGTTGGAGTGCCCCAGGACTGCAGCCACCATCTTTAACCAGGACATACTGTCACAGAGCGGTCTGGGTTTGGTAAGGTGAAAAGGAAACACTACAGCTTCTGATGCTTCTCTGTAGACGTGAATATGCAGAGGACTTCCACAAGGGCAGCAGTTGCTAGTATTTGGAGGAAGAAGCAAGGGACACAGCTGTGGAACCCAGAACCCATTCACACACAGGCCTTTGCTCCTCTGCTGGACAAGAAAGGGGACACAGGCAGATTATTATTCCCCCAGATGCCATAAAAATGGGCAACTGACCAAGGAAAGAGGTCCTAGTCCCCTTATGGGCACTCCAGAAAACCCCAGCAGAATATGCATGCTTACACCCCAATTTCTTCCATGACTGGGGAGACTAACACATCAGGATACCAGAGGCTGTAGCAGGAAGACAATCAACCCCTCGGTTTAGTAGGCATGGTGGTGCTGGATTGCAGGGTGAACTTCATGATCTTAGAGGTCCTTTTCCAACCTTATTGATTCTATGATTCTATGATTCAGACTGTGTCCAAGAAAAATCTTGCTGTTAATCCCATCTCCTAGCCACAGAAACTGAGCTCAGGAATGTAGAAGGTCTCTTGTACAGGATAAGGCTCCTCCAGGAGGCACTGGAGGCATGATTAGAGCATGGGGCACCTGTAAACATCCCAGCTCAGCCCTACCATTTACAGACATGGACTTCAAAGGGGAAACAGTCTGCACAAGTTGAAACCAAAGAAGGGAATGTGTATACACTTCCCCTATCCAACTCCTAGATGGGTGCATTCCCTACCACATCAACACAAGTGTTGTTTCTTGGGGGTATTTCTATCCCTAGACCAAGGACAGAAAAGAAGGCATCCATGGGGAGCAAGCACATGAGTTAGCAGGGATAAGGTGTCCAAAGACTCAGGCTACAGGACTGATGCAATGAGGTAGTCCAAGTGACACAAAAACACCACTCCTGTCAGAGGGCACAGGACAGAAAAATGCCCCACCTTCATTTCAGAGCCTATTCGGGAGGATCAGCTGTCCACATCGAAAGCATCCCTGGTTTGGGAGTGACAGGACAGCTGCCTTGATTTAAATGGGAAATT